GAAGGAGGCTAATGAGAGAGATCCATTGTTGGACACAGTTAACAAAGTTTTTATTCAGTGTAAGTTAAAAAGCTATTTTTTGACGAATGGCAGAGTTTTTAAACTAACAACCTGTAAAGTAATAGTAAGGCCTGTAAATGTCATAAAAGATTTCCCATATTTTATTGTAAATGTGGAATCATGTAAATGCAAACAATAGTAAACATAAGCAAATTAGGTAGCAGATACACAAACATTAATCCAAATCATCATATTCTACTCATAGCTAAATATTCTTTTCTAGAACTTGATTTCTGTTTTAATATGGGACACATTTCATTCACATTAGTATGCAGGACAGCTATTACATTATTATCCCACAGAGGTATTTGTGGCTTTTTCACTTAGGCCAAATATGTTCCTTCAGCACTGGAAAACTAATTAATGTATTGTTTCTTCCTTAGAGGTTAATTTTTCAGAGTTCTGTGGCATTTTTTCCAGCATGTTTAGACTACTCTCTTATCCCTAAAAAAAAATGTAACTTACACATTATCATTTTAAAATGCTGTTTTAAAGCAATAAATCCCTTCACAACACAACTATCTTTTTCAGAATGTAGCAGTACTACAAGTCACTTTAAGTCCCCATCAGGGAAAAAGCTGGGATATAAATATTGTGGGCATCCATCTGTCTCAAGAGACAATGGAATGTACCTCCAGGGGTGAAGTTAAACGGCTAGAGAATCACAGTGCCTGGTGTGGCTACAGAGACCAGTAACTCATAACTGCTGCCTTCCACTATGCTATTATTGTTGTATTAGCAGCACCAAATTATCTCTCCAGGGTGCAAGACCCACTCCTTTCTCAGCCATGCTGATATGGTCCAAAGGAAATAATAGCAATACATTTGGTGCCAACTTGGCTGCAGGCGTTGCCAAAAGGGGGCGTACAAGACGCTGTCCAACCATCTTAGGGACTCCACTCTGGATTTGTGTAGGGTTTACTCCTTAGCATTTTCTTCTGAAGATCCCGCAGGAGAGTGGGTCTAGATTATTCCTTGGGATTTACTCCCAGAGCCTTTCTCATAAATGAGTATAGCTGCAAGGGATATAACAACAACAACAGGAAGAAGAAGAAGACTATGAGTGATGCTAAAAAGTAAACACCTTTTGTTATTAGTTTTGCTCATTTCTATCCATATCCTTGCTACTGCCTAAGAATATAAAAGCAGTCTATTTGATCATAGAATCATAGAACTGTAGCGTTGGAAGGGACTCTGAGGATTGTCTAGTCTAAACCCTGCAAGTTTGGTGTTATCAGCACCACGCTGTAACCAACTGAGCTATCCAGGAAAATAAATTCACTTCAGTACCCTATCCTGACAATGCAAAATCCAAATCCTTAGGGCATTGGATGCACAGGAAAATAAAATTAAAAGCAACTCAAAGTGTTAAATTTCCCTAAGCATATTTTGAAATTGCACACAGAAAAGTAGCAGAAAATGGTTTCTGCTTTGTCTCCTCAGCATATTCTTTGAATTTCAGCAGCATCCTTATATTTCATTTGCCAGGGTCATTTGAGAAAAGTTCCAATACTGATCCTTAGAGATTATTTCTAGTAATTTGTTCCTTGGTTAACAATATTGATTGAACCTGTTTTACAGTTCCTGTGATATTAGTCACCTTACTTAATAATTTATTGTGTGAAACTGTGTCCTTTAATGAAAGCCAAATACATTAAATCAGATTTGTTTTCCTTGCCCAGAAAATTTGTTACTATTGTCCAACTCCACCTTACCTCAAATGTATCTAATGCAGGGAAGCCAAGATTAACTTTTGATTATGCTGGTGTGTTGGTCACATTAAATTTCCTGACGGGGTAAATCCTTACAAAATCAGAAGGTCCATAAGCTAAATGGTTCACAAGAGCCTCATAGAGAACCAGCAGGAGAGGGGAAAGTTGAGAAAGGAGGTTAAGGGCAAGAAAACAACAGCTGAGGCAAGAGGGAACTAAAGCCAGCATGAAGTCTTGGACAGCAAGGTTGTGCATGGAAACATGAAGCAAAGGGTGTGTAAAAGAACAAGATTGGGAGTACATGCTGGAAAGTTCCAAGCAAAAGTTGAACACAAAGTCAGGTGGACTTGTGCGGAGGCTAATGCCTGTGTCTGGAAGCTTTTATCCTCAGAAAGGTCACTTATGTACAGCTTATGGGTGGCAGTAGTGGGGCTTGACAGGCAGATCTATAGAAAGAAAAACCCATCAAGCTGAACATTCTATTCTCTCAGTCTAGGAAGTTGTCATCTCACTGCATTAAAAAATGTTGGTTTACAACTTGGAGAACTAATAATCTGCTTGTTGAACCAGTCTCGAAAATTACATTGCCCTGATGTGTGTGTGTGGGGGTTACTTTTGTGGCCCCACACTTGTGGCAGGACACAGTCTGAATTAGATTAGACTAGTCTGGAAACCATCTGATGATTGCCATATTGAAATACAGTGGTACCTCGGGTTAAGAACTAAATTCGTTCTGGAGGTGTGTTCTTAACCTGAAACTGTTCTTAACCTGAAGCACCACTTTAGCTAATGGGGCCTCCTGCTGCCGCCATGCCGCCGGAGCACGATTTCTGTTCTTAACCCGAGGTAATATTTCTGGGTTAGCGGAGTTGTAACCTGAAGCGTATGTAACCTGAAGCATATGTAACCCGATGTACATAGCATGTCTGTATTTGCCAGCAGTTTCCACACAAGTGTCTCACAAATGTGTAGGGTGCAGGCAGGCCTGTGATCAGTCTGCACTCACCTTCATATATTGTTTGTAAGATGTGCACATCTTTTTCCAGCTGCTGCAATTGTACATATCACTGGCCACAAGCTTGTCCCTCATTCTTCCAAGTTGCTGGTATGGGGGTTGCTAGCAACTGTGAGCTAGCCCTTAGTTCTGCCTTTCTGTGCTCCTGTGAAGTTTTGGACCAGTTAAGCCATATGGTGCAACCGTTTCATTTTGAGCAGAATATCCTAGATTGACAGAAGCCACCCCAGTTTCTGATGCCAATCTGTTTTGGCTCTCTCTGCCACCGCCTCTACTGCAGCTGTTGACACACCTTTTTTGGTGCTGTGCTCCCCTATTTCTCCAGTGCCACTTCTGGAAGTACTTCCGTGTGTGACATGTGTGTGAGTGCTGGCAGTGGGGGGTAAGGCTGGCTGGTGGCAAGATGGTGTGAATTGGGGGGAGGCAGTTGTGGTAGTGTATAAGGGTGGCCGGTGGTGGGATGATGCAGGGGGAGGCTGCGACAGTGGTGCGTAATGGCGGCAGGGTGATTTGGAGGTGTGGGGGGGAGGTTGTGTCCCAATTTGCCCCCCCCCCAGGATGTTGGATGGAATACAGTTAGAATTTCTGCTCTTAGAGACTCGTGAAGCTTGCTGGATCCTAGAATTTTGGAAGGCTATACCTTGTAGCTTGAGTACTGCTATGTTGATTTTGGCCACTGATGGTTGGTTCGAGACATGTTTTCTCACAGTTTTGTTGGTACAAGTTTCCCTAGTTTATGAACAACCTGAAGCTTATAAAATTGAAAGAGGGATTATTGAGAGAGCAGGTGGTGTTCAATTTATGCCAAGCACAACAGGTTGCAGCATAGATCATTTTTATAAATTTCTCAGTAGAATGGGCAGTTGTAAAGAAATATTTTTATCAGTTGCTAAGTTGCCTGAAAAGTCTCAATTTTTTTAGTTTTTTTTATTCAAAGTTATAACAAAACATATTTTCCAAAAACATATCCTTATTCCCCCCCATTTTTCCTCCCCCCACCCCCTACAAAACCCATCCCCCCACCCCACCCCCCGACTTCCCTCAGTTCCAGTCTTTGGTTTCTCCAATAATGCTATTTTCTGCATGTTACAAAGTTGTATAGATCCTCCAACTGTTTAGCTAATTATTATCAGTAAAAAATTGTGGATGTTTATTCAAAACCTGCCAAGGAGTCCAGTTCACTTTGTTGCATCTTCAAATACTTTGTGAAAGGTTCCCATTCATCCTTAAAGTCACAGTTATCCTTGTCCCGTAGCTTATGTGTCAATTTTGCCAGTTCTGCATAATCCATCAATTTTTCTTGCCATGATTCTTTAGTTGGGATTTCTTCAGTCTTCCATCCTTGTGCTACCAGAACTCTCACGGCCGTTGTCGCATACATGAAGATGTTTTTCAACTTTTTTGGCAGGTCTTTCCCTACAATCCCCAACAAAAATGCCTCAGGTTTTTAAACAAATGCTAAATGGAACATTTTCTTCAGAAAAGTCTCATTTATTGAGCTCTTCCACCTAGTAAACTCAGATTGTTTCTGTCTGGAATTTGAGAAACTACCATACTTTGCAAACAAGGACTCTGTGAATTGAAAACAGTAACGCTATATATACCTTTGTTATCCATGAAAATCTTTTAATAAAAACATTTTTTTAAAAAAAACAATAATAATCACTTATATTTTGTTAAACTTGAACCAAAAATTTTAATGCAGGTCAAACACTGAGATGTTGGAAACTGGTTTACAATAGAGTCCCAAGGGCCAGATGAAGAGACCCAGAGGGCTGCATTCAGCCCTAGACCTGAGGTTTCCCACATTGGCCCTAGTCATAAGAGGTGGGATGCATCACAGGCAGAATCAGTGTTTGAGCATCTGTACTTGAAAGAACAGCCCCACGTGTATGTTCTGCTGTGATATTTAAGATAGATTAAGAATGTGAAAGAAAATTATATTTTAGAGAAAAGGCTTTTGGATATTGGTCATCTTTCTGAGGTAATAAACTTTTCACATTCAGTTGCTTTAAAAGCTGACCAAAGTGGTATACTCCCACCACAAGAATATTCTGCTTCTGATTTTCTTGCTTAAATTTACCTTTATTTGTTGGCCAGTGTTTACATTTCAATGAGCCTCTGTCTGTATATAATGGTTATGGCTAATGTCTTTGAAATAAATAAACCCAATAAATGTATTTATTATAATAGAGTTTGTGCTTTATTTTCAGCATCTGGCGAGGACCAAATATAAACTGCACAGATAGTTCGGGTTACACTGCTTTGCACCATGCAGCTTTAAATGGTCACAAGTAAGTGTCAAATGGCTATCAATATTATGCTGGTATTACTTTGTGTTAAAAATGTTGGTATTAACCTGCATTAAGTTTAGACATAGTCAAATTTTTGTGTGCACCAAGCTTTAGTAAACTGCCCTACTTAAAACACCTGCCCCACTTCTGCTGTTGTAGCAGCCACCTCCATTTTCATGTGTACAAAATAATGTTGTTCTCCCTTTCTTTAGCGAGAAAATTCGATTTGGTTAACAGCAAGCATATTTAAAACACAGCTTAGAGCCCATTTTGGGTTCTAATCTGGGCAATGATAGTGGCGAAGAAATCACCACCATCACTGCATCCACTCAGTTTCAACCATGGAACTTTTCTACATAGGTAAAGGTCTTTTGCAATGTGACTAGGGTGAAGATGGATTGGAATCTTCCTTCTTGGACCATGGCTATGTACATAATAAAATGCAGCAAGGTAATTTTGTTGTTGCTTTGTTTCAAGTTGTCTGTATCAGTCTTAGAGTTGTCTTTCTTGGAACTGCCTGTCAGCTGTAAGTAGATTTTCTGGCTGATTGCAGTGCCTGGTATTACTTGGTTGCTGGCTGAGTGGATACAGCTGGGGTGTCAGTGTGGAGTCATATGTCACACTAGAGTTCACTGCTTTGGGTTACCACTTCAGGGAGACACAGGGACAGAGATGTCCTACAGTGTCAGATGGGATATAGAATTGTAGGCTAGACACTGGAGGAGACAAGCCTGTGACCTTCACTCACGGTGACAGCCTGGTTGAGGGGAAGTTTTATTTGGTGGGGTTCCCCCTGAGTGAGAGGCAGAGGGGAGAGTTGTAGTGGATGTACCATCTTCCATCTGACATTGTAGGATGTCTTAGTTTACTATCTGTAGGCCTAATCTCCCAGATGTTTATAGGGATGGAAGAAAATGTTGATGAATTGTGTCTGGGTGGGCAGCTGGCAGAAAGTGGTGCTCCAGTTCCAGTGCAGGGGAAGGTAAAGTTGGAATGAAGGGACTGACTACCATCTGAAGTGGAGGCCTATATGTTTGGTTTCAGTACCTTGTTCCAGCCATCCAACATCTCTGGAAGGTACTGGTAGCATTTCCACAGAGCCCTCCAGTCTGCTGGTGCTGATACTGAATACCAGATCAATCCTTAATAAGACCAAGGTCATCCTAGACTTGATTGTGAGATTTGGGTGAGTGAGCTGGGTGGGCTTGACCTTATCTAGCTGTGCCCACCTGGGTACTTGGTTCAACACCAGCCTATACTAGTGCATTGAGAGGGAGGGTTTGCTGTTGTCCACAATAGGTAAAGGTAAAGGGACTCCTGACCATTAGGTCCAGTTGTGACCAACTCTGGGGTTGCGGCGCTCATCTCACTTTATTGGCCAAGGGAGCCGGCGTACAGCTTCCGAGTCATGTGGCCAGCATGACTAAGCTGCTTCTGGTGAACCAGAGCAGCACACAGAAACGCCGTTTACCTTCCCGCTGGAGCTCTACCTATTTAACTACTTGTACTTTGACGTGCTAGGTTGGCAGGAGCTGGGACCGAGCAACGGGAGCTCACCCCATTGTGGGGATTCGAACCGCCGACCTTCTGATCGGCAAGTCCTAGGCTCTGTGGTTTAACCCACAGCACCACCCGTGTCCCATTGTCCACAATAAATATACTTTATTACAATATCCTTGAACATAAGAACCTCTTGACCTTAATATAGATTTAGAGGGTCTGCACCTGGTTTTGGGCCAAAGAGACAGATTGGGGATGCTGCTGGTCTACTGACCACCCTGTTCCCCATCAGCACCCCTGATGGGGCTAGCTTTGGTAGTCTCTGGGGTATTGTTGAAGGACCCAGGATGATAGTACTGGGTGATTTCAATAGTCATGTGGAGATTGTTACTGGGCTTGGGGCTTGATAGCCACCATGACAACCATGGATCTATCTCAAATGATCATTTGTCCCACACATCAGGCAGGGCATGATGTAGTCTTTGCCCCAAGTGATATGAGGGATAGGTTGACAATAGGGGTAGTGAAATGCACTCAGTTGTCAGGGTTGGAATGTTACCTGTTATGTAGAGTGGTGGGCCCTTTTGCCCCAGAGGCTGATGGAACTGGTGTGTTCCTGAATGCTCTGGGGGATTTTTAAGTGGAGAAAGCTGTCAGTTCTATTGAAGCCCTGGTCTCATTATAGAACAGCAAGATGAAAGAGGTGGTTGACATGATTGCTTCTGTGTCCTATCTGGCATTGTGGAGCTCAAGTGTCCCCTTGATATTCTGGGGATCTTGGGGCTAGGAAGCAAGCTGGACAAAGATTTTCAGTGCAAATGACCCAAGTCTCACTCTGAAGCTGCCCAAACACTGGTTAAAGCATGTAATCATGGCTACTGTGTGGCTGTGAAGAAGGCTCATTTTGCAACTTGCATTGCATCCTCTGGCAGCTAGCCGGTATAATTATTTTGGATGGTCCAGAGGTTACTGACACTCACTGTATGTAAGGGACCTCTGAGTATAACCTGAGTATAAAGTAACTTGACTTCAGAGTGATCTTGACTCTGCACTTATTGCAGCTCCAGCTGAAATACCCAGTGCCAGCAGGGGTGTAGTTTGTATGGGTGTACTGTGGGGTGATTGCTCCAGGCATCTTTGGGGGGGGGCTCCTCACACCACCCTCCCTGAGCCAACCTTGCAGCGCTTTGCGAGGCTAGGATCTGATCAGATCCTAACCTTGCAAATTGTGGGTGGCTCGGGGACGGCCAGCTTTGCCTTTGAGGGGCTCGGATCGAAGGGCACATGGCATCCTTCTCATGACGCCTTCCCCGAGCCACTTTGCAAGCCACTTTGCACCCTCCCCAAGCCACTTTGCAAGGCTGGGATCTGATCAGAAACATAACTAAGAACCTTAAAATTTGAATACCTTATTATTATATAGAAGAATAGTTCAGTTATGATTATAACATGGTTTTGGGTGATGTATTTTATTATGGCCACCAACCAATATAAGCTGATAAACAGAGAATAATTAGTTAACATAATTAAGAAATAGATAATATTTATTGAAGAGCAAAAAGGAAGTTCTTTCTTCACCATCTGTTTCTTGATGATAGAAAAATTTAACTACCTGTTTAAACAAGAATAGCAAGAATTTCAGTGAGTCTTCCAGGTAGAGTTCATAATAAAGGAAGAGTCAGCCTCTCTCTGGGCTTTCTATACAATGGTAGAATAAAAGAACATGACCCAAAGATGTTCATTAAATGGAATTGTCTTAAATTGGTCAGTTAACAGAGCAGAGGGCAGAACATTAAAGTGAGGGTGCATAAATTCTGACCTATATTTGTCAACAGTTAATGTCTGGAAGTATGAAGTTCTGGCAATTATAAAATATTACAATTTGATCACATCTTACATGCATTTAACTTGTACAAATTCAACTATATGTAATTGAAGGACACCAGGAAAATGCAACATGAAACCTGCTTTTAAGCTCTCTGCCTTACTTAGGAAGCAAGGCGCTTGCTGTGTGAAGGCTCTAAAAACCCTGGGCAAGACTTTCTCAATGGATCAGTTAGACCATCTGGCAGTCCGTTGTGAAGAGAGTTCTTATTTAAAGTCTCTTACATTAGTTGACACAACTGAAGCTAAAATTGTGTCAAATGTTTTCACTCACCTTCCATTCCCCCCCCTTTTACAACCCTTTTTTCTCTCCTTATGCTAGAATATTCCATTCCCTGCACTTGCAAAAATTGGCTAATGACCTCATGGTACTCTTACATTATTTCTTCAGCAGCTACCTGTGTGGTACAATACTATTATAATGTGTCTTTGTAAGTGTTTGGGTGAAAGAGGAAGTATCCACAAAAGATGGAACAAAGCCATGATTTTTACCCTACCGTCCCAGGATCCATGACCATCCAGCTAGAATATCTCTCTGTTGTTCAGTTGACCTAAAACTGCACATGCTCAAAGTATTATTCTTTTTTAATCTGGGTTGGTAAACTGGTTTTTGGTTGTCTCTGTACTGTACCAGGAATGTATAAGTACTTGTAAAGCACAGAATGGTGAAAGAGGGGGTGGAGGGGGTGGAGGGGGTGGATAAGATAAAATAAATGATAATAATAATAAGACCGTTAAGTCCAGCACCTAAATTACCTACCTGCACCACTGATTGAAGGGGAATTGAAATGTAAGCGTGGGAGAAAGAATAAAGGGAGAAAGAAGAGTTACGAGGGCTGATATTTAGTATTGTGGAGGAAAAGAGAAAGGAAAGCCAAAGAGATAGTAAAGCTGGTATCAGTGCTAATCCATAGGCAGTGGTCTGGGAGTAGTCAGGGGGTAGAAATTGCATTAGAATATCAGAGTGAGGGGACAAAGTCAGTCAGGACTAATGGACAAATGTGGAGGCATGACTGAAGAGTAAGCAAGAACTGAAGGACAAAATAGGAGACAAGAACAAAGAGCATGCCAGAAGTCAAAACCAACCAAAGGATACAGAACCAACTAAAGAATAAAGCTCAGAAAGACTATGTTTCTCAGACAAGACTCAACTGTAACTAGAAACCTTCATATTCCTTCCTGTCCAGGAAGATGCAGTGGTCTTTCTGATGTCATTCAAGGAAACTTTGCAGCTAGTGGATTGCTGAGCAGAGTCAAGGCAAGTAAGGGACTGCTGATATTAAATTGTTAACCATCCAGAACTTTAGCTGCAAGCCTCGGGTATATCAAATGTTTATACTCCCTGTAATCTGTCTCTTAAAATATGGATATTATCTTTGCTCTTTTGATGTCATTATGAATATCTGTGGAATACCCAAGGAGAACAAACCTGTGATTATGAAATATCTACTCTCTTATCCCGTGAGATATAATTCTTACAACCATTTGCAAATGTCTTAGCGATACTAGCTTCTTTGCACTTGTGTTGCTGTCATTTGAATAAAGACTGAATGCTGTGCTTGTTTGGTTCCAATATATCATGACAGTATATGCTCTGATAAACCAGCTTTACAAAGAAACCTTGTTGTCAATCCTTAGGTCATATTTTATGTTTTTCAGGGATGTAGTTATCAAATTACTTCAGTTTGAAGCATCAACTAATGTGGCAGATAATAAAGGGTATTTTCCTATACACTTGGCTGCTTGGAAAGGAGATGTAGAGATTGTGAAGATTCTTATCCATCATGGGCCATCACATTCCAGAGTGAATGAACAGGTGACGTTATTAAATATCTTTGTTTATGTCTTCAGAAAACACAAGTAAGTATAATTTTATTCTTACAACTATATGGACGGATTCATGAAGCTTCTTCATGCTTAAAAAATTCTATGGTTGAGAATAAGGATCATTGTGTTTGGAAAGGCCAGTTAATTTTAAAATAGCAGACATTAGCATTTAAACAGTTCTTATCATTATTATTACTATTGAATTGTATTCAGCATAGTCTTATTTGACAGCTCTCATGACTATTGAGGCATTGATACTGTTCAGTAGTGGATGGTGCAGAGGGGTAGTTCCTGGGAGTTCAGCATGGTGTATATGCACTAGCAGAGCCAATCTGGCACTCCTGCCAGTGTGTTCGCACAGCATCAACCTTCTCATCACCTTACCCTCCCTCTCTCCATCCCAATAAGCAGCAGCAACTCACCTGTTGGAAGGACAGGTAAACACTGCTGCCCCACCATATCATCTACTACTGGTACTATTACTGTACTACTAAGCAGTAGTAGGGTCTGCTACTATTGAATTCTTTACAGACAAGCAGTGTAGTCCCATGGTTTTTTTAAAAGAACTTTGTATTTCAGAATCACTGTGTGTTGTAGGTTTTCAACCTAGGTGATGTGATGTTGTATACCCATAATCTTTTTAAACCAAGAAATTAAAAACAAATAATACATCAGTGATTTCATACCATTTTTAAAGGCCTCTGAGCTCTGTTGTATATTGCAGACTTCTTCACAGCCTAGCACTACACAACACTATACTGAATATCAAGGCTGCATGTCTTAAAATGAAATAAGATGCCCCCCAAATCTTTATAATATTGTATATTTTTAGAAGATATTTCTTACCATAGCATGTGATACTCAAAACTATTGCCATTGTCTATACTGTATGTACATGGATTCCTGATCAATATAATGAATCTACATGAATCTAATGGAAACATGTACTGTATATTGTATCCAGTGAAATCCCACAATGTCTGAAAACAAAATTCATACACCAGGAATTCTTATTAGCCTCTTCTTGTTCCATTACTTCCTCAAAGAGGAATGCACAACATCAGCCATACTATTTTCAGATTTTCCAGAACAGCAGGAGTTGTGCTTTAAGGGAGAAGTTGCCAGACATGCTAGGATAGGAGAATTTAGGGTTCATACACACGCGCACGCACACACACACACACACACACACCCATAAGGAAGAGGGTAGTGTATTACACAGAAAACAGAAAGTGTCTGATGTAAGGTATTATTTTAATTATTATAATTATTTTAACACACTGATTTATAACTATGATAGTTTTTTCTTTTACATTTGCATACTGTTACAGACAGTAAGTGTTTTGTTAAATCAACAAATATGGAAATGTTTTCAGTTTTGCTCAGGAGGGATATATATGAAAGTAAAGAAGGAGACTTAACTTCCCTCTCACATCAGGATCTATTCAGTAATAGCTGGTCAAAATGTAAAATAGATGAAAATGTGCTGAGTGCAGAGAGAAATAAAAATGGGCTGTATCCAGAGGTTTCTTCAATGATGGAAGGCACCTTAATCCAGCAAAGGCATCCACCAGTGGTACAGGGAGGGAGGTATCTTTTTCAGGTTCCCTTGTCCCTTTGGCTGATAGGTAGCACAAATGGTTTCAAAGAAGCAGGCAGAACTGGTAAAAATTGCCTCCCTATTCTGTCCTTAACTGAATCAAAGAGCTGTTTATCAGTGAAGGGCACCACTGAATACATCCCAATATGGTGAAATGAATACTCTTTTAAAAAAGGATTTTGCATACGGTTATGGCTTGTCCGGGACGCGGGTGGCGCTGTGGGTTAAACCACAGAGCCTAGGACTTGCCGATCAGAAGGTCGGCGGTTCGAATCCCCGTGACAGGGTGAGCTCCCGTTTCTTGGTCCCTGCTCCTGCCAACCTAGCAGTTCGAAAGCACGTCAAATTGCAAGTAGATAAATAGGTACCGCTCCGGTGGGAAGGTAAACGGCGTTTCTGTGTGCTGCTCTGGTTCACCAGAAGCGGCTTAGTCATGCTGGCCACATGACCCGGAAGCTTTACGCCCTCGGCCAATAAAGCGAGATGAGCGCCGCAACCCCAGAGTCAGTCACGACTGGACCTAATGGTCAGGGGTCCCTTTACCTTTACCTATGGTTGTCCAGGTTTGTAGTTGATGAAAAGAACTTTACAAATAAAAAAGTGTGGAATGACATTATTTCAAAACAATGAAATGGGTTATTTTAAATGCAAAAAATTAAAAAATCTAGTTTTACCATATATTTCCTGAAATATTAATATTGGCTATATATTATCTTGGTGAACATGACTAATAAACAGACTGAGAAATACTGACAGACAGTATTTTTAATTGAGTTCCCTCTTAATTAAATGCTTAAAAATCACACATGGTTCTCTCTTACTCTTCTTGATTTAGAAGCATTTTCAGAACTTGAGAGCAAACTGATGATTTTAGACAAGCAAAACTGGGATTTGTTCATGTCTTTTGAAATCAGCTGTATGGAATTTGGATTTTAATAACATAAAAATCACAGTAAAATAGTTACATTAGCAGATAATTTTTATTTAGCTGAGACTGTTTGGAGTCTCTTAGCACATTGTTTTCAATGCTTCCTTTAGATGCTTTCTCCTATTGCTACATATTAAAAAATAAATAAAAGTGCAGTAATAAGATCATGATTTTCTGAGCCAGGAAAACCTAGGCAGTAATTTCCTTTCCTTGGATTAAAAATAAGGAGAAATTTTGTGTTAATTGCTCCTGTAACTGCTCATCTCTGAACAGTCGATTACTTTTGTCTTCTCATTCTTGTTGCACCCTCTAGTGGTCATTAGTCTCCTTCATAGTGATCCTAATGAGAAAGCTACAAGATTTTGGAGGCGTTTGACTCTTAAATCTGGAGTTTCAGAGTAATTAAAGCAGCTCCTATTCACAACAATTGAAGAAATGAACCTATGCTGCCAATTCTCATAGTAGACCAGTATAAAGTAAGCAGCACATAAGCAGCACACAAAACACTACCAAACCATCCTACGTTCTAAATCTTATATTAATAATCCAAAAATTGAGAGAGCTATGTACAAGATCAACTACAGAAGCCACAAACAGAAAACTCATCCAAATTGTGTCCAAAAGGAAGATACAGTCTTTAAATGTTCCTTTAGCCAGGCTCCTGTAGATATCAACGAGGATAATTTTGATCAAACAAAGTGTTGGTGATGTTACGCACAAGTGTTAGACAGGGTGCCGGCGTTTGTCATCTGTTTCGCCTGTGAAGAGGCTTGGGCTTCTTCAGTAAATTCTCTCTCACGATTTTGATATATTTATAAACATTCAAGCCCGAGACTCTTCATGGGCGAAACAGGTGACAAACACTGGCACCCTGTCTAACTCTTGTGCGTAACATCACCGACACTTCGTTTGATCAAACTTATCCTTGTTGATATCTACAGGAGCCTGGCTAAAGGAACATTTAAAGTCTATATCTTCCTTTTGGACACAATTTGAATGAGTTTTCTGTTTGTGGCTTCTGTAGTAGATCTCGTACATAGCTCTCTCAATTTTTGGATTATTAATATAAGATTTAGAACATAGAATGATTTTTTAGTGTTTTGTGTGCCACTTATGTGCTGCTTACTTTATACTGGCCTATTCACAACAATGACATGAGAACGATAAATCTGCTATCTTTGATTTTATGTAAATGACAATGGAGGCTGCTTCTCTTTCTGTTGAGCTTTTATCTGAGATTGCTGGATTGCAGATGCTAAGGTGCTACAATATGTAAACTAGGAGAGAGTGCAGAGGATAAACTGTGTAGAGGGGATGGTGTTTAATGATGGCTAGGAGTGTGAAACTAGGAAATAAATATAGAAATATGTTGAGGAGGAACAATCAGGGCAGTAACTGGGGAGGGGGGAACCTTAGGCACGCTGTCGGAGTTATGATAAAAATAGTTAAGGGAAGAAATAGAGAAAATACAGAGATGAAATACAGAGGTGGCAGGTATGAGGAAGATTGTAACAGAAACAGAAACGTAATAGATAATTGTATTGGTACTACCTTCATCCACTTTTAATAGGAAGGAAATGCCTTAATCACATATGTATAAGCCATGTGGGATGAACCTTCTGTCTAGCATGTGTAATCATTGTGTGTGTCATTACAGTGTATTTTGTTTCATCTTTTATTTCTTTCATTTAATTTAAGAAGTTGAGTAATTCTCTTCCTTATGTGATGACATCTTAAATATGTCTATTCAGTGACAGAGGTGTCAATAGTTTTAATTTATTGTGAGTTGCCTTGGAGGCCTGCTGTCAGGCAGAAAGGCTGGAAACAAATATTGTGAGTAAATGATAAAATCAGGGGTTTTATTTTTTAAAATCTTGAAGTTATGTGACATCAGAATTAATGTAGCGAAAATATGTTTCATTAAAATCACCTGTCTGTTCTCATAGTTTATATATTGATCAAGTGATCATTAATCTTAAGTAGAAGACATTTTGCTTTGAAAAACTATCCAATATTACATTAAAAGCAGTGTCACACTTCATAATTTATTTAGGCTCTTTTTTATTAGATCTAGTAAGATTTTAAAAAATCAGAACATGTATATTTATTGTTCATTTTGGTACATTATATTTAACAAACAATATAAAACTCATTCAGGTTTTCCTTAAAGGAATTAATTCTTCCATTGGGGCTTATATGGTTCACCTTTGGTCATTATCTTTAATCAGTGCTTTTTTTCAGCTGGAGCGCTCCGGGGCATAGTTCTGGCACCTCTCAGGTGGGCCCCATTGTGGGCTGGCACTCCTCCGGCCTGCTTCTTGCCTTTACATACTTCTGAGAAGCCCAAAACGAACATTTCAAGTCAAAACAGATGCTGGCCAGTGTGTGCAAGTCTACACTTTTTTTTTAGATCTATGTCTTCATCTAGCTCCTAGCCACTCCTAGATGAGATTTGTCAAGC